CTGCGGCAAGGCTCGCGGTAGAGCCACATTATTCAGGACACATAGTAGCCACGCCCCCTACGTACCGGCGAGGCAAGTCTCCGCCCCTAGCTATTGTATATTCATAATTCGGTGATGACCCCGCCTCTCCAGGCCCTAGAGGTGGCCACTTCCGCGCTGTAACTCCGCCTCCCCACGCGCACGCCTCCAGGCCCCACTTTATGTATTATCCGTGAACCTTACTGGACGCAGTCGAAGCCCCGCCTCACAGGCCGCTGGTTTGATGAATTATTTATGAGATCTCCTCGGCCTTCCGTCTTTGGCTTCTGTAGAGAGCCGCGCAGAGGGCGTGTGGGAGGCGGGGCTCGAGGCTGGCCTGACTGCTGGGCGGAGCCATGTAAAGGAGGCTCGTTGGACGCTGGATTGGGCCGCTGCGTCTTCCCTTAAGGTAGGCGGCTGGGATTCCCGGCCGTGGAGCTGCGGGCAAGCTGAGAGGAGGATACGGGAAACTTCCTAGGACCAGCGGAGACTTCCAGGAGGTTGAAACCCAACTCTCCACAGGGCTCACCCGTGGTGGAGTTCAGCGCCCATTTCCAGTAAACAACTTTATTAGCTCGTGGTTGTTTTCTTCTTTGACGCGGGGGGCGGGTTTCGCTATGTATTCCGGGCTGCCTTCCTCCCCAGTGCTGGGATTAGAGGTGTGGGCCACCACAATTTAGCTACCTTTTGTTTTTATCTCATTTTTCTTCGCTGCTCCTGATGGAACTGAGGACCTTTTGTTTTATGTTTTGGGGTTTTGTGTGCTTGCTAACTCAGCACTTTGTCACTGGGCTACATAACCAGCTCTTTTCCTATTTTCATCTTGTGACGGTCTCCCTAAGTCGCTAAATTGCCAGGCTGAGATCCAACTTGCCATCCTCCTGCCCCAGCCTCCCACAGTGCTGGGATTACTGGCGTGGCAACCACGCCCAGAGTCAGGTTTTGTAATTCCGCGGCATTACGGCGCTAATTCCATTTCTGCAGAAGTAAACTGGGGGCTTCAGTCACTTACTGCCCATCCCCTCCCTTCCCCCTGGCCGCTACTAATCTTCCTCTTGTCTTTGGATTTCCCTTTCATCTAATGTCTTGTTTCCATGGTTCAATATCCTCATAGCACATGGCAGTGCATTTTTTGTCCCCCCCCTTAATATAGGTCTCATTACATAATTCATCCTGGCTGTCCAACAATGATCCCCCTGCCTCAGCAGGTGTGCTAGGTATGTACCACCACACCCAGCTCATTTCTTTTTCGTGACAGAATAATATTCCACTGCGTGAACTATCACGATTTATCCACTCAGCCATTAAGAAACTTTTGAGTTGCTTGTGCTCTCTCACTGTAAGTGGCGCCTACGAACATCAATGCCCATGGCATTGTTTTTGTTTTCAGACCTGTTGATGGAAGCCAGAGCCTTGTGCACGCCAAGTATGCACTCTTCCTCTGAGCTACACAGCCAGCCCCCCTGCAGTTTTGTGTAGACAGACGCTTCTCCATCTCCTGGTTCTAAGCCCAGGAATGGGACCACTGGGTCCTAGGCTAGGCTGGCCCTGTAGGGGAGGTGCTGGGCTGTTCCCACCATCTCTCATGTTGCAAGTTCGCGTAAGGGGGAGCTAGGACCAGCCTGGCCTGCCAGGCCACCGGGCAGGACCCTTCCAAAACCCCGCTGCTGCCCCAACACTTCCTGCCACCGGACACTAAGCCTAGGAAGTGTCCCAACAGCTGCTGGAGGCTCGTAGCGCCTCGCTCACAGATGGGAGACTGAGGCTGGGGCAGGCACTGGCTGGAACGCGCACCCTATCACCCTGCACTCTGCCTCCCCAGGTCTCTTTTCAATCGTGGATACCCTGAGCCCCTGGGTTCCACATTGTGGAACTCTACTAACCGCAGGCTCAAACTGTTCATCAAAAAGCCACGGCTTCTGCCCATGCTGATTCCCTAAGGAACGCCGAAGACCTGCTGGTCACGGCCTGCACTCCCCAGGTGCTAGGTGTCAGCCGCCACTAGAGAGGCTGCAAGTCTAGGAGACAGGGGGAGGCTATAGATTGGCAGTAGAGCTCTACTTAGCACCCCCAGGCCCTGGGGGGTGGGGTTGCCAGCATCGAAGAAGAAAATGAGCTCAGCACAGTGATACACAAATGTAGTCCAGCTACTCAGGAGGCTGAGGCAGGAAAATCCCTTGAGTTCAGGAGTCTGAAATCAATCTGGGCAACACAGCAAGATCCTGTCCTCTCAAAAATATAACAGCCCATGTGGTACCACATGTCTCTATCCCTGGCACTCTGGGAGGCTGAGACAGGAGGATCACAAGTTTGAGGCCAGCCTGCATAATTTAGCAATTCAGGGTGTGCTGAGCTCACCCTACAGGAGCTCGTTTATGCTCCCAAGGAGCTGCCTCCTGGACAAGGGGACCAGGTGTCACCCCAGGCTGTCTCCACCTGGGTCAGGATGTCTGGAGCAGCCGCTTAGGCCACCTGGGCTCAGCCAGCACGATGGTGACCCACAGTAACCACTGAGCAGGCTGGGCCAAGGAGAGGCTGGAGCCAGGAGGTCAAAGAGGGCAGGAACAAGCAGCCCTGCACGTCTCCCTGCAAGGCTGGGAGACAGAGACACTGGCGGTGAGTGGTGGAGCTCGGCGTGGGAGGAGCCCTGACTTGCAGAGATTGGGGCTTCAGGAAAGACCTGCCCTCTCTCAACCTCAGGATTCACCTGGGAAACAGGTCGGCAAAGGCCATGAGCCAGACAGGTTGGCACACAGCTGGAGTTGTAGCTGCTCCAGAGGCCAAGGCAGTAGGAGGCTGAAGGTTGCTACAGTACGAGGCCAGCCTGGGCTACAAAGTGAGTTCAAGCCCAACCTGAATTATAGGAGACCCTGTCTCAAAACACAAAATGAAAGTCACCCCATTGTTATTTGGTTTTATGGTACTGAGGAGTAAACCCAGGCCTTAACACTGAGCTATATCCACTGCTAGCTCCTTATTTTTTTGAAACTGGGTCTCACTGAGTCAACTAAGTTGCTCAGGTTGGGCTCAAGCTTTCAGTCCTCCTGCCTCAGCCTCCTGAGTAGCTGAGATCACAGGTGTGGTGACTGTACCTTCTTTGTAAGCACAACCCATGGGGCGGCGGGGGTGTGTGGGGGACAGAAGCAGGGTCCGGAGTCTAAGGCCAACCTTGACAGCACGGTGAAATCTTGTCTCAAAAACCACCAAGAAGGAGGGG